TCCCTCCCTCCCTTCTCCTGCCTCTCTCCCTCCCCTCCCCTTTTCTTCTCCCCCCCCCTCTTTTCCATGCACTTAACCGTGGGATGGGGGCCAATGCTGTTCTCTCTAGTCAGCACCGCTTTTCCTTCTCAGTCCAGGAGCTGCAGCCAGGAATAAATGCAGAGGACCAGGAGGCAGGAGCAACTCGGAAACCTGAGTGGAAAATGAAGCGAGAAGGAAAAAGCCATCCCGTTTTCCAGCTCCCCACTGAAAGGGGGCTAAAGGCAGGGGCGACTTGGCAAAACGTGGAGCAGAGCCCCGCTGCTGGGCCCAAGCAGGAGTGCCGGTGTTCCTTGAGGACGGCGGCATCTGCTCCTTCGGGGTGGGCCTTTTCTCCGCCCTCCCGGGAATTTAGTGTGAGAGAATTCCAGAAATTTGGGAAAGCTGGAGCCGGTGGAGAGGACGCGCTGCAGACCTGGATCAACTTCGGTGGGGAAACCGCCCCCAGCTTCTCTAACCCCGTGAAAGTGAAGGAAGAGCTTGTATCTGAGGAGGAGAGCGTGTGTGTGGAGGCCCAAGGCAGACTGGAAGAAAAAGTGAGTCAGTCCAAATCAGGGATCTACACTGTCCTCGTGATCTTTCAGAAGGAGCCACCAAATGTTAAGATTTAATGTGCTAAAAAGGAGAGATGATTAAAAATGGGGGAGGGGGTGATATCAACTGCCATTGAATCAAAGTGAAATTTAATTTGGCCCTTCTCCTGGATCAACCTATTTCGTTGTGTGCAATCCAGCGGTTCTGCAATTTATTTTATTGATATTTATTTATACTTCAAATGCGTCGCTGCCCACCTCACTACAGAGTGACTCCATTGAGTGACCTGCAGTTACGGCAGGGGTACTGGTAAATCTGTGCAGAGCTCTCACTCCCTTCTGGGGAGATGCAGTGGGTGTAAAAGAGAAAACATATAAGGGCCAGGGCCATTTTTCCAACAAGTCTATGCTTCTAGCCCCAGGCCATCCTGCCACTGCTACCGTTTTTCAGAACGACAGAAGCCACGTTGCAGCCTTGTGCCGTGAGCCCCACCCCTTTGGGGCACACTTGTGACATCTAGAAAAGGAGTGGAGTTTGCACTGCGGTATTGCAAAGTGCCAGCCCTTTGACCCAAAGCTGCTTCCACAAAGCTGCTTGTGTCACTCTGACACACACACACACCCAGATGCTGCTGCTTAGCTTATCCATTTCTTTGCGAAATGTTGGGTTGTTTCCTTCTTCCCTGAGATAATAGAGCCAGCCTGGTGTATTTATTAGAGCAGTGTTTCTCAACCTCAGCAACTTTGAGATGTGTGGACTTTAACTCCCAGAATTCCCCATGCTGGCTGGGGAATTCTGGGAGTTGAAATCCACACAGCTTAAAGTTGCTGAGGTTGAGAAAAACTGTATTAGAGGGTGGGGCCAAGAAGAGGGAGACCCAGGTTCAAGTCACCCAGTGACACGAAACTCACTGGGTGACTTG